TTCCGGTTGCCCTGGCTGATCCTACTTCAGGACCAGCAGTGGCCCGCAGCTCTACCACCCTCTTGTGCCCGGCTACCCCCTCTGGTGTCCTCACTGCTCTCCACATCCCCTCGTTCTCCAAGAGCTTGGGACACCTTCAGGACCTCCACGTCGGCACCTGGTTTCCTCCGTCTGAGCGTGTTGCGACCTGCTTGGACGGTGCCACTGGGGCTACTCTGGCCACATTTCGGCTAGAGCCCTGCTCAGGTCTCATCACACTGCACACTGCGTCTCCCCAGGCAGCTGCATCCGGTCAGGTTGGGGCGTCGTGCTCCTGTCGGTTACTCTCCCACCCGACAGTCCTGTGGCACCACCGTCTTGGTCACCCGTCCTCCCACGTCTCCGTAGCATGTCTAGCCAGCGTCTTGTCTCAGGTCTCCCGCGCGTCTTTGCGTCGCTCCCTCCTTCGCCTGCGCCGCCGTGCACTCCTTGCGACGAGGGTAGGCTGCGCGCCACTCCTCACTCCTCCTCCCTTCGCCCGGCCACCGCCCCTTCCAGACTTCTCCACTTGGACCTTTGGGGCCCTGCCCCTCGACCTGGGCCTGGGAGGGAGAGCTTTTTCTTGGTGGGCGTTGACGCATTGGCTTGGTCATGGAGATCGCCCGCACCTCCATGATTCATGCCCGTGCGCCCCATTTTTCTGTGGCCCTACGCGGTTCGCTACGCCGCCCACCAGCTGAACCTCTTGCCTCGTGCCTCATGGCCAGAAGCTTCACCGACCAGTTTTTGGATTGGGTCCCCTGGTGTTGCGTCGGAGTTTCGTGTCTGGGGCTGCCTTGCGCATGTTCGCGATAACTCTGCGGACAAGCTCTCGGCTCGCTCCCTCCCCCGTGCCCCCTCCCCTCTTCCTCTCCCCCACTCCTTCTCCTGCTCTTGCTCCTCCGGTACACCCACCCCACCCAGGTCCTGCCCCGTCAGGTGTATCGCACGATACCCCTCTCCCCTCCGTAACACGTCAGGTGTCGTCTCCTTCCCCATAATCGTCCTCACAGTCACCGTAGTAGCCTTCGGCACTATCGAGACGAGTTGCAGTGGACTCTGGGGGTGTTGGTGCTGGAGGCACGGGCTCTGGAGGTGCTGGTTCTAAGGGTGTTGGCACAGGAGGCACGGGCGCTGGAGGTGCTGGTTCTGAGGGTGCTGGAGCTGGGGGTGCTGGCATTGGGGTGCCAGTTTTAGGGGTGCTAGAGCTGGAGGTGCTGACACTGGAGATGCTAGTTCTGGGGGTGATGGAGCTATCGGTGCTGGCACTGGATGTGTTAGTTCTGAGGAGGCTGGAGCTGGAGGCACTGTTACTACGGTGCCTACTACGCCTCCCCACCGCTACTTGACGCGTCTCCACACTCTTCGTCGGCTGGAGCGCGAGGAGCATGAGAGGTTGGCGCAGGAGAGGCTCGAGCTGGAGCTGCAGCAGTAGCAGGAGCAGCAGCAGCAGCAGCAGCAGCAGCCACCTTTGCAGCAGTTGTTCACACCTGTGAGTGGCCTTCGGGCCCTTGGTCTTCCTTCCCCTTCTCCAGACCGCTCACCGTCTCCACCTGTTTCCGGTCCTCTGTTACCTCTCCAAACCCGTCCCCATCTGTTTTCTCTCCTCCTCGGTCCCAGTCGCCTCCTCCTATTGTCCCGCACACTTAGGCCATTTGTTGTCCTCCTCGTGCTCATTCCTCGTCCCCAGTCACCGACCTCCGCTCTGACTTGTTTCGTTCTAGTCCTCCTCGTTCTCCGCCTCCGCCTGTTCTCCCGTCACCTCCTGAGTCGTCCCTTACAGCCTCCTCCTCTAACCCTACGACTGACTACTACCGTACCGCTTGTCCTATTCTCTCACGTCTTCTCGCCTCTCTTGTTACGGTCCCTCGTGCCTCTCCGTCGTCTGTCTCGGCTCTTACTGCCACTGTCGTTGACTTTGCCGCCACCCGCGTGGTGGCTGCTCCCCCTACCCGTCCTCTGTCCACCGGGGGTGAGTCCGCCCTTGGCTGTAACGTCCTAGAGGACAAGCAGTTTGAGCTGGAGTTCCTGGCAGCCGCTTCTCCCCATCTCTGTGCCATGCTGCTAGCCCATGAGAAAGAACCCGACGCCCTTGACATACCGACTCCTCGCACGTACCGTGAGGCAGTGTCAGGGCAGTGGGTCTCTCAGTGGATAGCGGCCATGGACTCAGATATAGCGTCTTGGAGATCCACAGGCACTTACGTCGACGCAGTTCCAACGCCTGGAGCGAACATAGTCGATCACCACGGACAGAGCCGCTCGCACCATCACTCTGACTCAGTCACACATGGTGCAGCAGGTCCTTCAGCGGTTCGAGCTTCAGTTCTCCACCACACAGCCCACTCCTCTGCCGTTGACTACAGGCTCACCGCAGTCCACTCCTCTGCCGTTGACCACAGGCTCACCACAGTTCCTGACGAGCCCTTTGAGTCTAGTGGCCCCTACGCAGAGCTAGTGGGTTGCCTCATGTACCTGATGACATGTACTCGTCCGGACCTCGTGTTTCCTCTCAGCATCCTGGCTCGCTTTGTTGCGACTAGGAGACACCGTCCTGTTCACTGGGTGGCACCAGTGAGGGTAGCGAAGTACCTGGCGACTACATCTGGCTTGGGGCTTGTGCTGGGAGGGACGCAGCCAGTTGTGCTCACCGATCGCTGCGACTCTTCCTACGCCGACGATATGGAGACCCAGTGGTCTGCTCAGGGCCACTCTTTCAGATTGGGCTGGTGCTGTGTCGTGGAGGTTTACTCGGTCGTCGTCTGTGGCGCAGTCTAGTGCTGGAGCCGAGATCTACTGTACGCCGGTGCCATGGCTGCGCAGAAGATTCTTTGGCCGCTCATCGACCTTGGTGAGCGGCCGAGCTCTGCGCCGACCTTGTTCGCTAACAACAAGGCCATGAACCTCCTGTGTCGAGAGCCTCGACTGGAGGGCAGAGTGAAGCACATCGACGTGAGGTACTTTCTACTGCGAGAGCTGCAGCGACACGGCCAGGCACGCTTGGGCTTTGTGGCCTCAGCGGCCAACACTACAGACATCTTCACCAAGGCCCTTTCGCCTGGTGACCGCCACAGGTTCTGTCTGCAGCTAGGCCTTCTTGAGGTAGGCCCTCGGTTGCTGTAGTCTTGCCTATTGTTTCTTGCTCTGCTTGCCTTGTACTTATATATACATATATATCTGTTAACTTTTGAACTTGCCTTGTGACCTCTTGTTTGTGGTCAGACTGTGTGGTGACTTCGTGATCCACCCTGAGTTTCGCTGTGTTACTTCTCTTGACTGATCTTGTGACCACTTGTTTATCTTGCTTGTTTTGGTGCCCCTCACTTAGCCTATGGGGGTGTGTCAAACTATGTTTATATTTTAGATAGGCTGTAGTGAGGTGCATCTTAGGGGGTACACATATCTCTCGACACTCTCCTTGTACCCTCCCCCCCCCCCCCCCCCTCCCCTTCCCCTTTCACTTGTCCACCCACCATTCTCTCTATACCTGACTCTAAGATCTTGCTCCGCTTCCATGGGGGGGGGGGGGGATTGGATGTTGATCTGGTGAGGCTGAGGGAGACGACGTTGAGGCTGAGGGTGGGGCTCTCCAGGTAGAGGCCCCTTACATGACCGACGCACAAATGTAGATGGGGGAGGGAGGAAGAGAGCGGTGTGCTTTGGTGGGCGTGGTTCATTTCTTAACATTCCTGGTGGCAACGAGGTTGGAGGGTCCTTGCAATAGCTTAGCATGGAGGTATCTTTTAGTTGGCATGCGCTAAACCTTAGGCTTTTGAGATGTACAAATGTTTTATACATTATTGTTATAAAAACCCATTTCCATATTCAATTTATGGTTTGCCAATGTTACAGCTAGATGTTCAATTTTGAATTCTCAAAATCCGCCCTCCTCACAAGCTAACTCATACGGATGGAATTTCGTCTTACACCTGACACCGGTTATTAGCGTGAGTGACTGACATTGGTATTCACTGGAGGACATGTTACGTGAATATGGTTTGAATGTGCACGTTAACAGTTCGAGTGGGTCTCATCTGGTCACAAAACTTAGACAAGATAAACGGAACAGTGCTTTGGGATAGGCAAAGATACTTGAGTGGGAGGAAGTTTGCGTAGGGACCAGATGAGACCTCCTCCTAGTGTCCAGTGGGGCCACAAATGGGACGAGGCGAGGTTTGGAATTCAGTGTACCTTGTTCCGTGTCCCCTGCATTTTCCGTGCCTGGCACCTGAACCAACAACTCGACCTACACCCTCATTTCCACCCGTTCGTCCGACTTCTGCAAGCATAATTTCCAGTTCCTCCCTTGCACTCCTTGACCTGGCCATCTTGTCGGCTCGGCAGTAGTTCTCACTCGTGTCGCCGGCGTGGTCATGGTTTTGGTGGCGCCAGCTATGCGTGTTATTTGGCACGATATAGCACAATCGCTGTGTAGATGGTTGTCCCGTTTAGCTTCACGTTAGGGAGGCATGGGTTGGATGGATGACCTAGGACCAGAGCTTATCAGCCGAGTACTATCGAAGAGCAGATTGAGTCCAGTAGAGCTGTGCCGATTGTCGATATTAGGCAGGGATTGGAAGGAGGCGGTGGCATCCCATGAGCTCTGGAAGAGCATAGAGCTCAAAGTTCCGGAATACTCGAGGCCCGTGTTAGTCTTAATTTCCAAACATTGTGGAGAATTGTCCGAGCTTCATGTTTCTCGTGATCCGATTCACCCCAGAGGCCTTTCTGTGCCCTATTGGTGAGAAGCAAAGACAGGAGGCAAAAGTCGGAGTAGCCAGTTTACGCTTATTGAATGTACACTCTCGAAGCAGTTCACGTCCTCAAATTTCTCATTTTCGGTTCGTTTCAGCTCGGCCTGGATGGATGGCGTAGAGGAGGTGCTGAAATCGGCAAGTTTCAGTCTGAGGAAACTTGTTGTATCCACTGGCTGCAACATCTACAAGAAGGATTACAGAACTGCTCCCTTTTACACCGAGCTCATGACTAGGGTCACGAAGCATTCCAGGTGCGTCAGTTAAGGCTTTCTGTCTTATGATATTGTTCTGGAACTATTAAACCTTAATATTCCTTATGATGCAGGTGTTTGGAGGTCTGCGAGATCTATTATAACGCAGGGAAGTCTGGGCTGAAGAGTGACATACCCCGATGGATATTCGAATTTATTCAAAGATGTCCTCAAATAGAAGTATTTCGTCTATGGTCGCCGTCAGGAGACTGCGGTGGCCTTGATAATAAATGTATTGCTGCTATGGTCGCTGGTTGGGTCTGCCTTCAACACTTGGAACTTACAGGGGAGGCTATCACTCTAGATGGTAAGCGATTCTGTCATGCACCTCACGAATATGTTTCTTTCATGTTTTTTATGACGACGTTTTAACATTTGATTGATGCTCATTTGCTCTCCAGGGGTTATTCTTTTGAAGGCATGCAGCGGCCTCAAAACTGCGCGCCTCAGCCACATTAGCCTTGGAGCTAGTAAGCGACCAGACTCGTTACGGGTATCCAGCGACTACCAGGACAGCAGACCTTTCAAATCTACAGATTTTCGAGAGCTGGAGCTGGCACACACTAACTGTGACCTACTTGACCTTCAAATTATTCATCAGGAATTTCCAGGTCTAGATTCCATTCGCATTATTGAGGCCCCAGAGGTGTTTCACTTGGATGATTCAGGGGACGAGGCTGAGACTGTTGAAACAACGTCCCAACGTGAGCACCTCCAACGACTAGCTGACCTTAGGTCTAATTGTGCGGAGGACGCCTCAGTGTCCTCCATAGTCACTTTCATTGACCTGTAGCTGTCTGACATGTCTAACGTTGTGACTAACATAGCACCTGTACAGTCAGACCAGTCTAGTGCACCTCGAACGTTATTTTTTTCGACTCCGGAACTCTAACTAAAAAAAAAAAAAAAGGTGTTTTGCGGAGTGTACTGTGCAAGAGGTAGGGAGAGGAGGGAAGAGATAAATATTGATGTGTTTTGAACAATAGCTATATGCATACGTAGAGTCTTTGGCTCAGTTCTTATCCAATGTAACATCCTCCTCTCGTCACCCTCCTTACGAACTACTCAGCACACTGTTGAATCCGCGGCTCGCCAGTGGGCAGCTCGCTTCACCAACTTCACCCACCATCGCCCCAACCGAACCCAGCCTGGCTGCGAATCAGGAATCAGTATGTGCCGAACGGTACAGCAATTGTTCAAATCGGTTTTCTTGGTTCTGGTGCGGTGTGACAAGAACCTTCTTCACTTGCCTTACCGAACAGCTATTTCCCTGCCTCTGGAATCGCAATGCTTTGATTTCATCCTATGCTACCATTTCCCAGCTGTATTGGGGTAGAGATAACGATCCGAGAGAATCAGCATGTCGGCAGCATGTGTTATCGCAGTTCTTTGATGGCCTCTTGTCGAAGAATTTCAGGACGGTTGTTGGTCAGTAGTTTTGGTCACTGAGTCACCACAGCCATCGTCGATTGTCTAGGAATCAGGGACAAGAACGAATCACAGGAGTAAGCCAATCAAAGTGGTGAGAAGGATGTTCGGAGAAGCCTGTTTGTGAAAGTTGGTCGCTTCTTGTGCGTCCCTGCATGACGGGCCATTGCACATGAAACGAAGAACTTGACAGACATATAAACGGAAGCTTCAGCAAACAGGGTAACCCGACTACCACTAATCTAATCGACGCAGAATGGCCGAATCACGGAGTAACGAAGCAGCGAGCGCGTTCTCCGGTCCAATGCGGCGAGTAGTAACGGGAGCCGAGGCCGCGAGTCCCACCGGAAGTCCCGCGAGGAGCGCCGCGAGAAGGAGTCGCCACCAACGGTCGTGGTCGGGACTACCGTTTGAATCCTCTCCTTTCTCCTGGTCAGGACGGCGGTTCGAGTCCCCTCAACCCTCGCGCTCCGGCGTATTAACCAGCCGGCTGTACGAGCTGACGCTCGATGCGCCGCCCAATCAGGAGTTCCTGTTTGTACCCGCTAAAAGCAGCAAGAAGATTGCTCGTGCACAGAAGGTGGACGGAGAATTGGAGACTTATGAAGAGCCTCCCTCACCAGGCTGGGCAGGTGCGTGATTACACTAATTCTGCATCTTATATCTGATCGGTTGTAACATACAAAAATGCCTTAATCTCTTGCATGTTACATGGCGTGACTATGGACCCATAGAGCGGAATGAGTTTCGGAGGCTTTGCTGGTTTGGTACGTGCAATTAGTGGGTTGCCAGGTTCCCTGAAACAGGTTACGAGCTTGCTGCGTTGTTATGAACTCACCCGCATGTCAGTGACTTCTTCTCTCTCTTTATTCCTATCCGTTTTCCTTCATTCTACGCGCATTCCACGGCAGAGTTGAAGGCGCAGTGCGAGAGGATGGAAGAGGAGGACCGTCGGATCACATCCATAGATCTCACGCACATCCCTGAGAGCGACACCGAGGCTGACTCTCACGGCCTGCATGGGAGCAGGAGGCGAAGAGGGAAGGATGCGGACGGTGTTGTCATGTACGGTCTAGGCTGGCAGCCCAGCAGGGACGTGGAAAGATCCAACGGTCCAGATCACGAGGTGGAGATCGAGCTTCTTCCTCAGCGCAGTGAGCCTAAGGAGGGAGGAGGAGGATTGAAGGAGGAAGTAAAGCGCGCAAGGAAGTCGCACAGGCGGCAGCAGTCATGTCCTACGGACTACTGTCTTGCTGAACAGACTGAGAGGGCAGACAGGACGCAGAGGGAGCGGGTGGAAAGGGTGGAAAGGACGGAAAGAGATCAAGGGACAGAAGAGAAATGGTCTACGCAAGGCAGCTTACCTTCTGGCCTGCTGGCAGGCAGCAGTGGCGTGCAGTGGGAGGGCGCGTGCATGCAGGAGCAGGAGCAGCAGCAGCAGTTGCAGCATGTGGACGTGGAGAATAGAAACACCAGTGAGAGATCTGCGTGGCAGGAAGGAGAGCTCTCTCAGGTGCGGAGCCAGCAGCAGCGGAGGGGCAAGCTGAGCCTCTTTGCCACGTGGCACAGTCGAACTCGCTCACGAGCAGAGGAGTTTCAATCAGCAGTCATGAGCCTGTCCCCTCCGCCACCACTACCCTCCTCTCTACCCTCCTCCCCTCCACCAGCATTCTCATCCCCCCAGCCACCTTCAATCCCCCCAGCAACTCGCCACCGCAGGTGCTCTTCTGGGGTGCTGCAACCCACATACGCGTTGACAGAGGAGCGATCCACATACTCAGTATCGGAGCAGCAGCCCTCACCCTCGCTCGACGCAGGCACGCAGTCAAGCAGAGGAAGAGAGAGTCGTGGCGTGCAGCAAGAAGCACGTCTTTCTGGTCCACTTGGCTCTCGCTTGAATCCGCACTTCAAGCCTTGCCAGCCTGGCCCACCACAGCAGGGTGCCAGTGACGGCTCAGCTGCTTCTGCCTCGTTCTCTGAATCACCCTTCCGCCTCCAATATCCTTCCCACAAGGAGCGACCCCCTTGCCAGCCCTGCCAGGTCCCACCTGCACTGCTGGGTACGCATAGCCAGGGGGGGGCGGGGCAGGGTCCATCTGGCGAGGGTGCATTCGAGCAGGTGAGCGGTCGCTTAAATGCACCACCTGGGAATGCACCTGAGAGCTGGCAGCAAGTGATGGAGGAGAGGGTGCGAGAGGCCTTTGCCTTGGGGTACCTGGCAGGCCTGCGCGATGCTGCTGCCCGCGCTGCTGCTCCTCCTGCTGCTGCTGCTCTGGCTGCTGATGCCGCTACTGGTGTTCCAGCTGCGGTTGCTGCTGCTGCTCCTGCTGCAGCTGCTGGTGCATCACCTGGGCAGTTTCTACTGAGAAACTCCTCTTCTGATTCCGGCTACGTCACGTCCCACTCCAGAGAGAGAGCGGCTCATAGAATGTGCAAGACCAGCACGGTGAGTGGAAGCTCGCACTGTCAAGACCGCTCCCCCCTGCGATGGATGGGTGAGGTACGGATGCCTCTAGATTCGACTCAAACGAGCAGCACAGTGAGTGGTGGAGGCTCGCACAGCCATGGTGGGTCCCCACTGGGATGGAATGGGGAGGGGGAGGTACAGATGCCTCATCGGTCTCACACTCGCCTCAAGGGTCCTCTACAGGCGCGCAGGGTCGCATCTGGTCCGCTACAGCCCCGTTCTGGCCCGCTAAAGCCCCGTTCTGGCCCGCTACAGCCCCGTTCTGGCCCGCTACAGCCTCGACATGGGCTGTTAGAGCCTCAGTTCGGTCCGCTACAGCCTTGGGCTGGTCTGTTACAGCCTCGGTCAGATGTGTTACAGCCTCGGTCGGATGTGCTACAGCCTCGGTCTGGCCCACTACAGCCTCGGACTGATCTGCAACAATCTCAGAAGCATCCAGCTGAGCAGCCAGACAGAGAGAATTGCCGTTTGAGTACCAGCAGGGGTGACAGCGCTGGCCGTGCTTCAGTGCACGCAGAAGGAACGAGAAGTGCGAGAATCCCGCTGAATCAGCTGCAGCCACAGCAAGCACAGCCGGAACAGCAGCAGGTAGGTGAACAGCGGCAGCAGCAGCAAGCGCAGGAGGGCGAGCAGCAGCAACAACAGAAGCAGCAGCAGGAGCAGCAGGAGCAGCAACAGGAGGGGTGGAGGCAACGGTTGAGGCTAGTGCGGCACAGGAGGAGTGGCAGCTTGGGCGCATGGCAGGAGCCGCCGGGCAGAGCAGGGGAGGAGGGGCCAAGGGTGCGGTCAGTGCAAGCACTCGCTTCACACAGTGCTGCTAAGTTTGAGCGTTCCTTCTCTGATAACACAGGGGCAGGGCCGGGCGCAAGGGCAGGGGCAAGGGCAATATCAGGGGCAGCAGTGGAGGTTTGGGTGGGGGCAAGGGTGGGGACGGGGGCAGGAATGGAAGGACAGGCTGTGGAGCAAACAGCAACAGCCTCTGCTTCCTCTTCTGCTGCTGCTGCCTCTTCTGCTGCTGGTGCCTCTTCTGCTGCTGCTGCCTCCTGTCCCGCTGCTGCTGCTGCTGCTAGTGACGCTATGGGTGTTTGCAGGGACACTGAGAGTGAAGCTGACAGCTGCCGTTCCCCTGGTGATGGAGGGGGTGTGCGAGGCATCCACACGGGTGCCTCCTGCACTGGCTTGCGCTTGAGCCGCAGACTCTTCTCTGGCCGCCTGCTGCTCACCCGTGACTCGTCGTGATGTGCATGACTTGTGGTGGCTTGCGATGCACTGCACACTTGATCCGTGACCAGATGCAGTGCACGTTGGATTGACACTCTTGCCAGCAGTGAAGTTAGATGAGTTGAATTTATTGCCAAGTGATGCCTCTCTCTCTCCCCAGTGTCCAAGAGCAGTCATCTTCCAGGGTTTACAAACTTTGCACCTTTGAAGATAAAGATTATTACACTATTAGGCAGACCAAACCATGGATGCAAGTGTATAACACAATGCGTGTTGCTGCTGAAACTAGTTCTATAGGGTAAACAGGAAAAGCGATTGGAGAGAGGATAGGGAAGACTGATGACAAGGGGGGGCTGAGGACAAGGGAGAGTCGAGTAGTGATGGATGGATGGGTGCTGGACAATGTGCAGAGCTGAGAGAGGAGGGGGCAACTAAGAAAAGAAATCCCAGCCGTCCTGCCCAAGCTCCTCGCCCCGATTTTGCTTCTTAGAGCACTCTGAGCAAGGTACGACTTTCCCGGCAGGAGCCGTAAAGAGTCGAACCCTTTCCTGTTAGCTCAGCTCAGCTCAGCTCAGGTCAGGTCAGGCTTCTGGCGGCCATGTCGTTAACATTGGAGCTCGCGTCACGTGCCTTCTGCAGCAGCGATGAAACCATGGCATCCCCCTCTTCTTCCTCTTCCTCATCCTCCTCCTCTTCCTCGTCCTCTTCATCTTCCTTCTCCCCTTCCCCATTCTCCGCCTCCTCCGCCTTCTCCCCCTCCTCCGCCTCCTCCGCCTTCCCCTCCTCCGCGTCTCCAGCCACCTCTGCGCTCGCCGCGGAGTTCCCCAGGATTCGCGCCACCATGGCGCCCTCGCCGGGTTTCGCGCCGGAAGTCCCGCTCGGCGCGTCGTCGTCGTCGTCGGCCGTCAGCTCCCACGTGGCGTCGTGAAACGCGTCGGATCCGGGCGACGCGGGAACGAAACGGTCAGCGGCAGCAACAACGGACTTCACCGCGTCAGCACCACTAATAGTTACAGTTTCAACGGTCGCCGCGACGAGCGGCGATGCCTTATACGTGGTGCCATCAGTGACGTCGCCTTTGCTCTTTTTCTTGCTACCCTTGAGAACACTGACAATGGCGAACACCCCCGCGGCTACGACGGCGACTGGAATCAGCAGCGGAAGGAGGGCCTTCTTCGGCTCTTCCTTCTTCGCCGCGCCGGTTATTGCGGCGCCGATAGCGCCGAAGCTCGCGCCGGTGATTACGGGATCCGCGACTTCGTCGGAGGTAGACGGCGACACCTCCACGAACTCGCGAACCTGAACCTCCTCCATGGTTCGGCTCGGACCAGACCGCTGAGAGAGGCACGGGGACCTGTGTGACGCTCACGCACGGCTGCGCACGCACCTTAGCTGTAACTGCTGCAATTTCGAGTATGTCCCTGGTCTAGAATAATGGCGTGGTTGAGGCTTGGGACATTCAGAGCAGGAGGAGGAAGGCTTGTTTGAAATGCCTGGCGCAGCGTCCCATTGGCGGGAACTCCGAGAAAGTAGGGCGGGATGGAGGGAAGGGGGGGGTGCCTCGCACGAGCGTGGCGTTTGCGACGTTCGCGAACCGTCGTGGCAATGTGCGAGATGTTGCGATGTCGTATGTTGAGCTTGACGAAGAGGTACTGAATTTGAAGGTCATAGGATGTCACCTTGCTTTCTACATGTAAATACGAGTCTTTTCATATTTTGTTTCACATCCATAGCGAGGCATTTTAAAACTAGTACGTGCTGAACTGCACTCCCATCCAAGGCAAATTTGCAACCGCCAGGTTGTCCACGCAGCATATTCTCGAAGTAGCAATTGAATTCTCACAAGAAGCAATTTGGAAAAGGTAGAAATGGCGGATTTGTGACTCGAACTGCAAAACCGACATTTCTCTTCGATTTCCCTTCTGCCATGCTAGCGACCATGGTACTCACAGGAGACGATTCTGGCACGTTGCCCTGGTGCCAGCTGTTGCACTCCGATTGGCGGATGAAAAGAGCTTCGGAGGTTGGCGTCAGTGGCGAACAGCTTACCCAGTTACCAGAAACAAGCGATTCAAGGGGCGCCCGGAGTTCGTTAAAGACTGACGGAAAAACATCATCCGATGGGCAGAGTAACAGCGTGGACAGCGAGTGGAACTGTAACGAGGATGGCTGGATGCCAGCCGTTGTTCCAGGAACGTACGTTTCCGGGATTGCCGGCGGTGTAGCAGGCTTCGAGCTAGCAGGGACCGTGACGGGAAGCACGCCACCGGAAACGACCGCTTTCTAATACATCTCATGTGGTGTCATATGTTGTCCTTTCGTGCCTCATGTGGTTGCGTCACACCATTCGCCGTCTACCTACCACTCTCTTCAAGTTCCTCATACTCTCCCACCTCTCTGCTCTCGAATCTCCCTGTTAGTAAATTCTCTTGCTCTTGAGTCTCTTTTGCTTCTCAATCTCGTCCCTCGTCGGGCCTCCCCGTCGTGTTGTCAACGCAAACTGAGAGCTATCAAACCGTGCTTCCCCTTCCACTCCGAACCTCCCTCGTACCCCCCTTCCCTCGCACTTCAAAAATCACTAGACCATGCCCTCCCCCCACCGTCTCCTCGCTCTCTTCCCCGCAGAGTGCTCACAAGCCTGGTAGAGAACGGGGTCTTCCCGGACCCCCTATAAGGCACCAACGCACGCGACTGCATCCCTGACATCGCCCACACCAGTGCCCAACCCCTTCACCTTCCTCTCACTCTCTCGTTCTTCCCCACAGAGTGCTCACGAGCCTGGTGGCGAACGGGGTCTTCCCGGACCCCCTGCACGGCATTAACACACGCGACTGCATCCCTGACATCGCCCACACCGGCCGCCCCTTCTACACCTTCCTCTTCCGCCGCTGCCTCCACCTGCCTTCCAGGAAGGTTCCTGCTGTCCGATGCTGTCTGGCTCTGCTGCACTGCCAGCAGTCCGGCTCGTCTGTAGCTGCTGCTGGTGCTGCTGGTGCTGCTGGTGATGGTGGTGCTGCTGGTGCTGGTGGTGCTGCTGGTGATAAGGGTTGCTGTGGCCGGGGTGACTGTAGTGGGTGTGCTGGGTGTGGGTGTGAGCGTGTTGAGTGGGAGCGAGTGTGGCTGTGCTTCCGTGGCGTCAACTACTCGCTCGCCGTCTTCCTCAACAGCCGCCAGCTCAGCATCGACCAGCCAGCTGGCATGTTCCTGCGGCGCCAGCTGGACATCACTGACGTGGCCAGGAGGGGGGATATCGGCAAGGGCCATTGCAGCAGCAAGGGATGTAGCAGTGAATGCAGCAGCAGCAGCAGTGGCTGTGGCAGCAGCGAGAGCAGGAACCACCTGGCAGTGGTGGTGAATCCAGTGGACCACCCGGGGAACGTGGATGGGGGAGGGCAGGGAGGCGACCACCAGGTACAGCCCCGTGCATGGCGGAATGTGTGTGACGCATGCAACTGGACACTTGCCTTTCGTTCACGCCGTTTGACATGCTTAATGTGCCATGCCATGCCCCATACATGCAGGTAGCCAAGGATGTCACAGCTCAATACGTGGAGGGCTGGGATTGGATCATCCCCATCCGGTACCCTTTCCCCTTTTCTGAATCCGCATCACTCCTCCTCGTTGGTGCTCGTGTATACTCCAGTCGATTCTTGATGCATTATGCACCGTAAATTTCTTAATTCATGGCTGCCAATCCTTACCGCTTCTCCTTCATTCCAGCTTGATGCTCTTATTTTGTCCCCTTTCCCGCTTCCTTCCGACCGTCCCCGCTTGCTCTGCTTGCTAATAGCCTTCTTGCTTCCTTCTCCCTGGGGGTTGGCAGGGACCGCAATACAGGCATGTGGGATCAAGTGCACGTGGCTGTCACGGGGGTGAGTGAGGAGTGGCAAACATGGGATTGTGCTTGTGGGAGAAAGGGAAGGCAACATTCACCTTCCTTAACATGACTTGCACATTTGCCGAGCGTGCTGTTTCCACTCTTTCCTATCCTAACCGTGTGTGCATGAATGGCAGCCCGTGGCTGTCGGTGTCTATTGGTGTCTGGGAAGGTGTTCCTCACCTGATATAGCTTTTGCCCCGGTAGATGTTCAATGCGTTTTACCTTGGTTGACTTAATAGCCACTTCCCCCCCTCCTGAAAATGCGTGTGTGGATAGCAGCCTCTGGCCTTTCTTTGGTGACTCTCTCTCATCTGGTGGCCGCCGTTTGAGCCAACTCGTAAGCCTTTCGCCCCTCCTCCCCCCCTGTGCATGGTGCATGCATTGCAGCCCGTGACAATTGGTGACCCTCACCTCGTGGCTGTCTTCGCATCCCAACGCTGCAATGACACGCACGCAGATGGCGCGAAGAGGGAGCATGCAGATGGAGCCAATGCGAAGGAGGACGTCACCCATCCATCAGCTCTGCCCCACAGCACGCACACATGCTCGCCTCCTCCTTCCTCCTCCTCCACTCCCGCCCCTCCCGCCCCTCCCTTCTGCCCCTCCTATGCGTCTCTTCACTGCTCCCTCACCCTCACCAACTCCCTTCCCATTCCCCTCCACACACGCCTGTCTCTCGAGCTCTCCTTCACTCCCGGCCCTGACCAGAGGGGTGGTGCGGGGGAGTTCGGAAGGGGAGGGGCGAAGGGATGCGGGGGTGAGGGAGGAGAGGGGAGGGCGGTTGACGGGGGTGAAGGGAGGACGAGTGGGGAGGGGGAGTGGGAGGAGGAGGAGGAGGGGTTTGTGATGGTGGAGGGAGTGAGGGAGGAGGAGGTGGAGGTACCGGCCTGCAGCAGCATCACCCACACGTTCCGCCCGGTATGACGCCAAGCCACGCAAAACGAATCACATGTGCAAGCGTTGCTGCAGCATGTCTAAGGCGTACTCTCACTGTGCAATTCCTCCCTCCCCTTCCGTCTTCGTCCCCCCCCCTCCCTCCCCTCCCCCTCCCTTCCCTGCAGCTACTCGTATCTCGCCCTCATCTGTGGTGGCCCAACGGCATGGGGGCACAGTCGCTGTACGGCGTCGCCATCACTGCCTGCGTGCTGCACCCTCCCCACCTCGCCTCCTGCGACCCCTCTGGGAAAGCCTGCGTCTTAGACCCAGTGGTAGCACCTCACACCACAGCCTCACTGCCACCCTCTGAAAGGAGAGAAGCAGTGGCAGCCAGTGAAAGCACAGCCCCCGGAGCAGCAACGGGCACTGCTGCAGCCCCAGTGGCAGCGGATGACCCCTTGCCTTTGTCCTCCCCCCCTTCACTACCTCCCTCCTCTGCACCCTCCACCGCACCTGCCTCCTCCTTCTCATCTTCCTCCTCCTCTGCACACCCCCCCGCACCTGCCCCTGCTTCTTGGAGCCGGTTTCTCTCTCACACGCTGACTCAGAGCCTCGGGCAGGCGAAGAGTTTTGTCAGCTCGGCCTTGTATGGCGCGGATGGGGATGTGGGGAAGGGGGAGAGTGGAGAGCAAGGGGAGGGGAGGTGGATACAGAGTGACGTGTGGAGCAGCAAGTTTGGATTTCGACAGATCGACAGCTATGTGGATGAGGGCACTGGCGGCAGGTACGTGGGCTGTTGTCTTACTCTTCCACACACTTGTGTTGCCTTCCTCCCCTCTTCGTGCTCATCTTTTGGGCGCCTCAAATTTTGTCGTACTCTTCCACACGCTTGTTCTCTTCCTCCCCTCTTCATGCTCATCCTTTCTCCTCTCGTCCAACTCTGCTTGCTCTTTTTGCGGACTCCTCTCCCCCCTTCTCCCCCCCTTCCTCTTCCGCCTCCCGTCTCCCTTTCTATCTATTGCATCCCTCCTTCTTTTCTAATTCCCGCATCTCACAAGTCGTTCATACCCCCCGATTCATGTCCACAATTCATATGCCTCTACTCCCTTGGCAGGGTTTGTTCTCATCATTGGCTGCCCGCTCTTCATACCCCCCCATCCATGTCCACATGCTCTGTATCTACTCTTATCGTGTACCAGGGTCTTTTTCATCAACGGCTGCCCGCTCTTCATACGCGGGACCAATTGGATCGTCTCGGACGCCATGCTGCGCCTCTCAGCGGAGCGCTACTGGGCAGAGATGAAACTCTTCGCATGTGCCCGGGTGAACATGATCCGCGTGTGGGCGGGGGCTCTCATGGAACGCCCTGATTTCTACGACGCCTGCGACCGGCTGGGGATCCTGGTGAGTGGTTGGGGTTGCTGTGGGGTGCTAGGAGTTGAAAGAGGAGGACAGGTGTGCTGTGGAGGCCTTACTTCCATCAACTCAGTGGGTTCGCGTGTGGGCGGGGACTCTCATGGAACGCCCTGAGTTTTACGACGCGTGCGACCGGCTTGGAATACTGGTGAGGGTTGGGGGTGGGAGTGGTGTAGTTGATTAACGTGGGGTTGGAATGATGCATATGGGTGAATCCACTGCCTCCTATTCCCACTCTTCACAGGAAACTCGGTCCCTTCCTCTCTCCCTCCACCACAGGTGTGGCAGGAGTTTTGGATCACAGGAGACTGCAACGGCCGCGGCCTGCCCCCATCAGACCCCTCGTGGCCGCTGGACCATCGCCTCTTCCTCGCCTCTGCGGCCGAGGCTTGCTGCCCTGCATGAATGAACCCTCTGCCTCCTATTTCGACCATTCGTAGGAAACTCGGTCCTTTCCTTTCCTACCACTTTCCTGCAAACAGGTGTGGCAGGAGTTTTGGATAACGGGCGACTGCAACGGGCGTGGCCTGCCCCCATCGGACCCCTCATGGCCTTTGGACCACCGCCTCTTCCTCGCCTGTGCGGAGGACAGCGTCCGCCTGCTGCGCAACCATGCCAGCCTGGCGCTCTGGGTGGGCGGCAACGAGACCGTGCCTGCTGCCGACCTTAATGACTCGCTTAAGAGCCTGCTGCGCCCGTATGATGGTGCGTGAGTGGGGCTGTGTGTGGGATGGCGTGGGGTGCGTGGGGTGCATGGGGTGAATGGAGTGGCGCTCTGGGTGGGCTGCAATGAGACAGTGCCTGCTCTCAACCTGAATGACTCACCCAAGAGCATGCGGCGCTTGTTCCATGGGGTGGTGCGTGGGGTGGTGCGTGGGGTGGTGCGTGGGGTGGTGCGTGGGGTGCGTGGGGTGCACGGGGTGAATGGAGTGGCGCCCTGGGTGGGTTCCAATGCAGCCATGCCCACTGCTGACCATGCGGCCATTGCCCACTACTCAAGAGCCTCCTGTGCTCCTCAGATGGTTGGTGCGTGGGATGCTGTCTGCGTGTGCAGGCAGGAGGCAGGGAAATGATGGGTGGTTAAGCCGTACTACAGATACAGCACCCGGAAGGTCTCTGACCCTCACTTATTCTGGAAAGCTCTCTCTTCTCTTCCTAGCCCCTCCCAATGTATAGCACCCCCAGTCGACTCCCCTTCTCCCTACCTCCACCCCTCCTTTCCCAGCCAAATCAGACCCAGACCCGTCACTACTGCTGGACGGCACAAGGGCGTACGTAGAGGGCTCCCTGTGGGTTCCCCATGTATATCACCCTCCCGTGACTGTCCGCTTTCCTACCTCCACCCGTCTGCCTCAGCCAAGTCAGACGGAGACCCCTCACCATCGCTGAGCGGCACAAGGGCGTACATAGAGGGCTCCCTGTGGGGCGGCTTTGCAGACAGCAAGAGAGGCTGGAAGGACGGGCCCTGCAGCATCCAGAACCCCCAACATTCCTTCTGCGCATTGCCTCTGCGTCCTTGTAAATAGAAAAGCCCTCTCCTTCTTTTCCAACTCCTCCTTTTGTTCACCACCCTCCTTTGACTCCCTTTCTCCCCTCCTCCGCCTCTCCTACCTCAGCCGAATCTGACCCAGACCCCTCACTGCTGCTGGACGGCACAAGGGCGTACATAGAGGGCTCGCTGTGGGGCGGCTTTGCCGACAGCAAGGGCGGCTGGACAGACGGGCCCTACGGTATCCAGAACCCCGAAGATTTCTTCTGCCCGGATTACTACCCGTACGCGTTTAACCCTGAGATTGGGTCTGTTGGGGTGCCCGAGGCGGAAAGCTTGCGCGTTATTTTTCCGGAGAGCGATTGGAGCCCCCCGGTGTTTGGAAAAGGGTGGGAGGAGTGTGGAGGGGAGTGTGTGGAGGAGGAGAGTGAGGGGTGGAAGGTGCATACGTACATACCGTATGGCATGGTGGGAGTGGAGTCAGATGGAGGGGGCGAGGTGGATAGAGGAGGAGCGAGAAGGCAACCAGGCAGGCAACAGCAAGCAGGCGTGGTGCAGCAAGCAGGCATGATTGGATTGGAGCTGGTGGGAGAAGGAGAGGAAACGAGGATGCAGGAGGCAGCAGGAAGCAGGGTGGAATGGAAGAGGGGGTCAGTGCGAGTGAAGAACCAGATCCTCACATATGGCCCCGTGGATGGGCTAGATGACTTCTGTGACAAGGTGAGTCAGGAGCCATGCTGCGGGGTGGTCAATGCAACAATATTTCCATCCGCCCAGTATCTTGTCCGCAGCATGGCAAGCTGTTGTACTTTGCATTGTTCTTCCACGATGACTCATCTCATCCATATTCCAGCTAGTCACGCCCCAATATGTGCCATGTGCCATCCATAAGCCAGCCAGCCATACAGTCTCAAAATGCTGTGGATGTTTGGCACGTCGCTAAACTCCTCGCCTCCCCATTCACCCCACCAGGCCCAGCCCGCCAATTACCTGCACTGCAGTATCGTTCCCTCTTCGAAGCATGGAGCGCATGCTTTATGGACGGGGAGGCTCACGGGAGTGCTGCTGCTCTACCAATGCGTGACACGTCTCAAAACCCCTCCCCGCATGTGCACTCCACCAGGCCCAGATAGCCAACTACCTGCAGTACCGCTCGCTGTTTGAGGCATGGAGTGCGCGCATGTGGGAGCGGTACACGGGGGTGCTGCTGTGGAAGGGGCAGAACCCCTGGGGGGGGCTGCGCGGGCAGCTGTACGACCACCTGCTGGCCGCCACTGGCGGGCTGTACGGCACGCGCTGTGCCCTGGAAGCCGTGCACGTGCAGCTGGATTTGCACACGGGGCGAGTTCAGGTGGGTGGTGGTCAGATGTTACAGGTACAGAGGCAGACTGAAAGTCACCCACTGAGGGGGCCCGCGAGGGCAGGAAGCTGTACGACCACCTGCTGGCCACCTCTGGCGGGCTGTACGGCGTGCGCTGTGCCCTGGAGCAGCTGAACTTACACTCGGGCAAAGTGCAGGTGTGTGGGGTGCATAGGGTGGTTCTAGGGGTCGCCTTTGCTGTTCCCTGGGCAGCTATACGACCACCTGCTGCCCCCACTGGCGGGCTGTACGGCGTGCGCTGTGCCCTGGAGCCCGTGCACGTGCAAGTGAACTTACACTCGGGGAAAGTGCAGGTGTGTGTCGATTGTGTGCCATGTGTTACAGCTGCACTCGCATCGCAGCCCTTGTTAAAAAGGCAGACATGTTGAAATCGCTTTTGAGAATTCTCTTCAGCAAAGGCAGACTGAAAGTCGCCCACTGGGGGGGGCTGCGAGGGCAGCTCCCTTCCCTGCAGGGCAACACTACCTTCCCTGTCATCTCCCGCTCTTCCGTCCCTCCTCCTACTCCCCCTGTCTGCGCCCGTCAGGTGGTGAACATTACATCCCGTGCTCTCTGCTCCCTCGTTGTGGAAGCTTCCATCCACCTTCCCAGCGGTCACTGCCTCTGGCACGCCTCCTCCTCCTCCCTCGCGGCCTCTCCCACTCCCGCACCTGCTCCCCACTCGCTCACCTGCCAGCCATTCTCCTGCACAGAGACTCAGCTTCAGGTGAGGAGGGCACAGGTTCAGGTGAGGAGGGCACAGGTTCAGGTGAGGAGGGCACAGGTTCAGGTGAGGAAGGCACAGGTTCAGGTGAGGAAGGCACAGGTTCAGGTGAGGAAGGCACAGGTTCAGGTGAGGAAGGCACAGGTTCAGGTGAAAGAAGCACAGGTCAGGTGAAAGAAGTACAGGTCAGGTGAAAGAAGCACAGGTCAGGTGAAAGAAGTACAGGTCAGGTGAAAGAAGCACAGGTCAGGTGAAAGAAGCACAGGTCAGGTGAAAGAAGCACAGGTCAGGTGAAAGAAGCACAGGTCAGGTGAAAGAAGTACAGGTCAGGTGAAAGAAGCACAGGTCAGGTGAAAGAAGCACATGTCAGGTGAAAGAAGCACAGGTCAGGTGAAAGAAGCACATGTCAGGTGAAAGAAGCACATGTCAGGTGAAAGAAGCACATGTCAGGTGAGGGCAGCAGGTGGGGGAATGACAGCTGGATGCAGGGAAGCACAGCTGCAGGCTCATATGAATGTGTTGGTGCTAAAGCTTATGCACATGTGGGCATGCAGACATGGGGGCATGCAGGCATGGATTAGTTTCACTCGCTCCCATCCCATCCATGCCAACAACCCTCCAGCCCCAAGCCTGTCTCCATCCGTGCTGGAATTTCATCTCTTTCATCTCTCATCTTTTATCCATCCATCCCCTTTCTGATCGTTCCCAACGTTTTCCATGCAATCCACCATGCCACACCCCCATGCCACACCCTCATGCCTTTCCTCCCCGTCCCTCCCCCAACACCATCCCACCAGGTGCACCTCCCCCGCCTCCCCGTCTCCCTTCCCCACCCACCCCCCACCGTCTTCCTGCTCCTCCGCCTGCTCCACTGGCCCCACCCCTCCCACCCCTCTGCACCCCTCCCCTCGTCCCCCTACCACACCCGCTCCTCGCCGCACCTGCCACCATCGCCTTCGCCACCTTTGGGCTGTGCTGCCGCCAGCACAGTGTCGCGCAACCTCTACTGGCTCACTGCTCTTCCTCTGGACGCACCCTGCACCACCCTCTCATCAGCAGCATCACCAGCAGCATCACCATCAACACCATCAGCACCAGCAGCAGTATCAGAAGCATCACCACCATCACCACCATCACCACCATCAGCACCAGCAACAGCATCACCACCATCACCACAAATGTCCAACGCAAGCACCACCACCCCCCTTTCCCCCCCTTCTCGCTCAAGCCCCTCTCCTCCCTCCGATCCCTCCCCCATATCCTCTCCCTCAGCACTCCTACCCTCCCGCACCTCCTCCCCCGCCCCTTCCTCCCCTCCCTCCGCCCCCCTGCCCTCCTACGCGTACCTGGGGGACTTCCGAGCCCTGGGGGGGGCCTTCCGCCAGGAAAAGCTGCGCCTCTCCCTCTCCTTTCTCCGCCTCTCCTCCGCCTCTTCCCCAGGAGAGGCAGGGAGGCATCTGCCTCCCAGTGAGCCCCATGGAGGGAGGTCTATCTGGTGGAGGGCGTATCTGCTGGTGAGCAATCCTGTGAAGGGAGGTGCGTTGGGTGGAAAGAATTGTGCAGAACGGCAAGGAGAAGGAGGAGGAGCAGCGGTGGGGGTCACTGGGCCTCGGAATGACCCTGCTGCAGGGGTGAATGGAGACGAGAGCGCTGGAGCTGTGGCATTCTTTGTCAGGTTCAATGTGCGACGACGGGTGGATGGCAAGAGGGTGCTTCCTGCAGTGTACTCTGAGAATTACCTCTCGCTGTTGCCTGGGGAGGAGGTCACTGTGCAGGTGGAATTTGCTCATGAGCCTTGCTCTGCATGTGCTCGAGGGAGTTCCTCCACTGGCTCGAGCTGTTCAGGCGGCAAGTGTGACAAGGGAGTGTTTGTTGAGATGAGTGGCTGGAATGTTTGTACGTCTTCTTGTGATGTCCCTTTGCTGAAACCTTGAACCTCTTGCTTATGGATAAAAGGAGCAGCAGGGTTAAAATCAGGATATGTGTGTGCTTAAATCCTCATTGCCCGGATTTGATCGCCTGCATGTGTAATGGTAGTATGAATGACAAGCCTGGTAGGTATGCATTGCATAGAACGATACGGTACTACCGTATTCCAACCCCGTACGTGGATGATACCCTATTGAGCAGACTGCCCCAAAATTTTAGGGAGATCAGAAGTCGATCTAAGCTGCGAAGCTGCGGTGAACTCGTAAACGGGCAAGACAGGGGCAACGAGCAGCGCGATTCCCGCTAGGCAGCAGCAGCGCGATTCCTGGTAGGCAGCAGCATTTACCTCGCTAGTAGCAGCGCGATCGCGCCACGTAGCCCGCGACCCAGCCCGCAATCTCGCCGCCCAGCCCGCGAACGAGCTCCTAGGCCCGTGATCCAGCCGCGTAGCCCGGTACCTCGCAGCCGAGCCCGTGATCTAGCCGCCTAGTCCGCGATCTCGCCGCGGAGCCCGCGATTTAGCCGCCAGGTTCGCGATTTAGCCGCTTGGCAGCGATCTAGCCGACCAGCCCGTGATCTAGCCGCAGAGCCAGCGATTAGGCCGCCCGCAGCGCCGTTAGGCAGCAGAACTGGCGCCATAGCAGGCTCGTTTCACGTACTGGCAGCAGAATCGCGTCACAGCAGCGAAAAACGCGCCACAGCAGCGAAGTCCACGCCACATCAGCGAAATCTGCGTCACGGCAGCGAAGTCCGTGCCACAGCAGTGAGATCCGAGCCATAGCAGCGAGATCCGAGCCATAGCAGCGAGATCCGCGCCATAGCAGTGAAATCCGAGCTATAGCCGCGAGATCCGCGCCATAACAACGTGGTTTGCGCCATAGCAGCAAAAGCCGTGTCTTAGCACCGAAATCCGCCCCTCAGCAACGGAATCCGCGCCATAGCAGCCGCGCCTGGGCCATCGCAGTGAAACCCGCGCCATAAGAGTGTGATCTGTGCCGTAGCAGCGAAGACAGCACCTTTGCAGCGAAACCCGCGCCATAGCAGCACCGTAGAGTAAGAGCAGTAGCAGAGAGTAAGCGAACAAGCCTTAGCCAGATCCTTGAGCCATGGCGGACGACCCGGACCCCGGGGATCCCGGGGGCCGGGTGGGGGGCGGCCTTGACAGCGACGTGACGGGAGCCTTCGGGGGTGAAGGGGGGGTAAGCACAGTAGCAGCTGGTGGGTCGCTCCACCTATTGACCGGTCACAAAAGACGGGGGGGGGGCTGAGAGTGCGCTCCAGAGCCCACGCATTCGTCGCCTCCACCACGAAGACCTTCTGTGCCTCTTTGGCAAACCAGCCAAGAGACAGTGTTGTGAAGCAGGCCGTTCGATTTCAGTACTGACATGCGGCCAACCTCTCGAAGACCCTCCCAACACCGGGTCTGACGGCGATTACCCTGTACCTTCGGCCATCATCGGAGAAAGGGGGGGAGCAACAACCGAAAAGGGTCCAGTCGACGAGGCGGCGGTTGTACCACGGGTGGCATCGGAGGTAGCGAGGGCAGCCTGGGAGGAACACCGTAGGCGCTTGCAACAACAGCATGACACTCGCAGACGCTGCCTACCTGTGAGGGCAATGTTGCACGGCGCCGGCTCGGCCGACGCCGCAATCCCCCCGGTCGTGCCACGTCTCGCATGGCGGCAGGAGCGGAGGCGCCGGAGTGCGGCGGGGAAAGACAGGCAGCAGGAGCCACTAGTGGGGGGTCAGCGTGACCCGCAGGTGGGCGGGCAGCAGGGGGCCCGGGAGAGGAGCCGGCAGCCGCCGGTGGGGACGGGGCAGCAGGAGCTGCAGAGCGGAGGGCAGCAGGAGCTGCAGAGCGGGGGGCAGCAGCAGCTGCAGAGCGGAGGGCAGCAGGAGCTGCAGAGCGGAGGGCAGCAGCAGCTGCAGAGCGGAGGGCAGCAGCAGCTGCAGAGCGGAGGGCAGCAGCAGCTGCAGAGCGGAGGGCAGCAGGAGCTGCAGAGCGGAGGGCAGCAGGAGCTGCAGAGCGGAGGGCAGCAGCAGCTGCAGAGCGGAGGGCAGCAGCAGCTGCAGAGCGAAGGGCAGCAGGAGCTGCAGAGCAAAGGGCAGCAGGAGCTGCAAAGCGGAGGGCAGCAGCAGCTGCAGAGCGGAGGGCAGCAGGAGCTGCTGAGCGGAGGGCAGCAGGAGCTGCAGAGCGGAGGGCAGCAGCAGCTGCAGAGCGGAGGGCAGCAGCAGCTGCAGAGCGGAGGGCAGCAGGAGCTGCAGAGCGGAGGGCAGCAGGAGCTGCAGAGCGGAGGGCAGCAGGAGCTGCAGAGCGGAGGGCAGCAGCAGCTGCAGAGCGGAGGGCAGCAGGAGCTGCAGAGCGGAGGGCAGCAGGAGCTGCAGAGCGGAGGGCAGCAAGAGCCGGTTTGGGTGTTGGATGTGGAGATGGCGGACGAGGCTTGCACCGATGAGCTGGAATCAAGCCCCATGGAGGGGGAGAATGCCAACCCTGATTCCCCGGACCAAGCGGAAAGGCCCCGAGCGCGGGGCCGGGGCCGGAGGCGACGGGCAACCAAACTGCAGCAGCTGCAGAGCGGAGGGCAGCAGCAGCTGCCGAGCGGAGGGCAGCAGCAGCTGCAGAGCGGAGGGCAGCAGCAGCTGCCGAGCGGAGGGCAGCAGCAGCAGCTGCAGAGCGGAGGGCAGCAGCAGCTGCAGAGCGGAGGGCAGCAGCAGCTGCCGAGCGGAGGGCAGCAGCAGCTGCAGAGCGGAGGGCAGCAGCAGCTGCCGAGCGGAGGGCAGCAGCAGCTGCAGAGGGGAGGGCAGCAGCAGCTGCCGAGCGGAGGGCAGCAGCAGCTGCAGACCGGAGGGCAGCAGCAGCTGCCGAGCGGAGGGCAGCAGCAGCTGCCGAGCGGAGGGCAGCAGCAGCTGCAGAGAGGAGGGCAGCAGGAGCTGCAGATCGGAGGGCAGCAGGAGCTGCAGAGCGGAGGGCAGCAGGAGCTGCAGAGCGGAGGGCAGCAGGAGCTGCAGAGCGGAGGGCAGCAGGAGCTGCAGAGCGGAGGGCAACAGCAGCTGCCGAGCGGAGGGCAGCAGCAGCTGCAGAGCGGAGGGCAGCAGGAGCTGCCGAGCGGAGGGCAGCGGCAGCTGCCGAGTGGAGGGCAGCGGCAGCTGCAGAGCGGAGGGCAGCAGGAGCTGCAGAGCGAAGGGCAGCAGGAGCTGCAGAGCGGAGGGCAGCAGCAGCTGCAGAGCGGAGGGCAGCAGCAGCTGCAGAGCGGAGGGCAGCAGCAGCTGCCGAGCGGAGGGCAGCGGGAGCTGCAGAGCGGAGGGCAGCAGCAGCTGCAGAGCGGAGGGCAGCAAGAGCCGGTTTGGGTGTTGGATGTGGAGATGGCGGACGAGGCTTGCACCGATGAGCTGGAATCAAGCCCCATGGAGGGGGAGAATGCCAACCCTGATTCCCCGGACCAAGCGGAAAGGCCCCGAGCGCGGGGCCGGGGCCGGAGGCGACGGGCAACCAAACTGCAGCAGCTGCAGAGCGGAGGGCAGCAGCAGCTGCCGAGCGGAGGGCAGCAGCAGCTGCAGAGCGGAGGGCAGCAGCAGCTGCCGAGCGGAGGGCAGCAGCAGCTGCAGAGCGGAGGGCAGCAGCAGCTGCCGAGCGGAGGGCAGCAGCAGCTGCAGAGCGGAGGGCAGCAGCAGCTGCCGAGCGGAGGGCAGCAGCAGCTGCCGAGCGGAGGGCAGCAGCAGCTGCAGAGCGGAGGGCAGCAGGAGCTGCAGAGCGGAGGGCAGCAGGAGCTGCAGAGCGGAGGGCAGCAGGAGCTGCAGAGCGGAGGGCAGCAGGAGCTGCAGAGCGGAGGGCAGCAGGAGCTGCAGAGCGGAGGGCAACAGCAGCTGCCGAGCGGAGGGCAGCAGCAGCTGCAGAGCGGAGGGCAGCAGGAGCTGCCGAGCGGAGGGCAGCGGCAGCTGCCGAGTGGAGGGCAGCGGCAGCTGCAGAGCGGAGGGAAGCAGGAGCTGCAGAGCGAAGGGCAGCAGGAGCTGCAGAGCGGAGGGCAGCAGCAGCTGCAGAGCGGAGGGCAGCAGCAGCTGCAGAGCGGAGGGCAGCAGCAGCTGCCGGGCGGAGGGCAGCGGGAGCTGCAGAGCGGAGGGCAGCAGCAGCTGCGGAGCGGAGGGCAGCAAGAGCCGGTTTGGGTGTTGGATGTGGAGATGGCGAACGAGGCTTGCACCGATGAGCTGGAATCAAGCCCAATGGAGGGGGAGAATGCCAACCCTGATTCCCCGGACCAAGCGGAAAGGCCCCGAGCGCGGGGCCGGGGCCGGAGGCGACGGGCAACCAAACTGCAGCAGCTGCAGAGCGGAGGGCAGCAGCAGCTGCCGAGCGGAGGGCAGCAGCAGCTGCAGAGCGGAGGGCAGCAGGAGCTGCAGAGCGGAGGGCAGCAGGAGCTGCAGAGCGGAGGGCAGCAGGAGCTGCAGAGCGGAGGGCAGCAGGAGCTGCAGAGCGGAGGGCAGCAGGAGCTGCAGAGCGGAGGGCAACAGCAGCTGCCGAGCGGAGGGCAGCAGCAGCTGCAGAGCGGAGGGCAGCAGGAGCTGCCGAGCGGAGGGCAGCGGCAGCTGCCGAGTGGAGGGCAGCGGCAGCTGCAGAGCGGAGGGCAGCAGGAGCTGCAGAGCGAAGGGCAGCAGGAGCTGCAGAGCGGAGGGCAGCAGCAGCTGCAGAGCGGAGGGCAGCAGCAGCTGCAGAGCGGAGGGCAGCAGCAGCTGCCGGGCGGAGGGCAGCGGGAGCTGCAGAGCGGAGGGCAGCAGCAGCTGCGGAGCGGAGGGCAGCAAGAGCCGGTTTGGGTGTTGGATGTGGAGATGGCGAACGAGGCTTGCACCGATGAGCTGGAATCAAGCCCAATGGAGGGGGAGAATGCCAACCCTGATTCCCCGGACCAAGCGGAAAGGCCCCGAGCGCGGGGCCGGGGCCGGAGGCGACGGGCAACCAAACTGCAGCATCTGCAGAGCGGAGGGCAGCAGCAGCTGCCGAGCGGAGGGCAGCAGCAGCTGCAGAGCGGAGGGCAGCAGCAGCTGCCGAGCGGAGGGCAGCAGCAGCTGCCGAGCGGAGGGCAGCAGCAGCTGCAGAGCGGAGGGCAGCAGCAGCTGCAGAGCGGAGGGCAGCAGCAGCTGCCGAGCGGAGGGCAGCAGCAGCTGCAGAGCGGAGGGCAGCAGCAGCTGCCGAGCGGAGGGCAGCAGCAGCTGCAGAGCGGAGGGCAGCAGGAGCTGCAGAGCGGAGGGCAGCAGGAGCTGCAGAGCGGAGGGCAGCAGGAGCTGCAGAGCGGAGGGCAGCAGGAGCTGCAGAGCGGAGGGCAGCAGGAGCTGCAGAGCGGAGGGCAACAGCAGCTGCCGAGCGGAGGGCAGCAGCAGCTGCAGAGCGGAGGGCAGCAGGAGCTGCCGAGCGGAGGGCAGCGGCAGCTGCCGAGTGGAGGGCAGCGGCTGCTGCAGAGCGGAGGGCAGCAGGAGCTGCAGAGCGAAGGGCAGTAGGAGCTGCAGAGCGGAGGGCAGCAGCAGCTGCAGAGCGGAGGGCACCAGCAGCTGCAGAGCGGAGGGCAGCAGCAGCTGCCGAGCGGAGGGCAGCAGCAGCTGCAGAGCGGAGGGCACCAGCTGCCGAGCGGAGGGCAGCAGCAGCTGCAGAGCGGAGGGCAGCAGCAGCTGCAGAGCGGAGGGCAGCAGGAGCTGCAGAGCGGAGGGCAGCAGCAGCTGCAGAGCGGAGGGCAGCAGCAGCTGCAGAGCGGAGGGCAGCAGCAGCTGCCGAGCGGAGGGCAGCGGGAGCTGCAGAGCGGAGGGCAGCAGCAGCTGCAGAGCGGAGGGCAGCAGCAGCTGCAGAGCGGAGGGCAGCAGCAGCTGCAGAGCGGAGGGCAGCAGCAGCTGCAGAGCGGAGGGCAGCAGCAGCTGCAGAGCGGAGGGCAGCAGGAGCTGCAGAGCGGAGGGCAACGGCAATTGTAGAGCGAAGGGCAGCAGCAGTTGCAGAGCGGAGGGCAGCAGCAGCTGCAGTGCGGAGGGATGGAGCTTGCAAGGCCGTTAGAGGGGGGCATGGAGACGGAGTCTAGCAGGAGGGTCTTGCCGGCGTGTTCGAGTGGAGAGGAGCACCCAGACCCTACATTGACACCCCCGCCCCGCATTCCGTGCGAAACCTGTTATCGCACGTTCACGGAGAGAGGAAAGGCCACACGCCATATGTCGGCCTGCAGGGCAGCGGACGCCCAGCGTCGTGCTCAGGCGCTTGGGTTGACCCGCGACGTCACAGATGACTCGGACGGCGAACCCCCGCCACCACGTGATATCAGTGAAGAGGTATGGGCCGCAGTTCCTACATGGGACTGGGAGTCGTTTTTTGGGATCGAATTGGTGCCAGGGAGAATCATGCGTCGTATCCCACAGCGCGCTAGATTGGGGGTGCTTGATGCACTGTCTTGTGTCCTGAAGCGGCTACAGTTAAAGGCAGCAGACGAGGCGGCGTCCTTGGTCTTTTTGGCCTTCCCTCGTCTTATCTTGGGGATGCCAACTGGGCAAGGCCAGGGGCATAGGGCGGCAATCAGGGAGCGGTTGGAGAAGTTTTGGGTCGGAGAGTGGCGGGAGTTGTTTGAGTTGGCGGTGGCGGTAATGCAACCTGCGGCGCGTCCTTTGTCCTTCACCCCCCCCCGAGCATGATCCTGATGCGGTGCGCCTGGCTCGCTGCCGCACAAGGTGCAAAGTGGGAGAATGGAGTCGGGGTTTGGCGTGTCTTACTGCCGGTAGCTTCGCTCAGCCCTCTCAGCACATGGTGGACGCGCTCCGAGCGAAACACCCATCGAGCGAGACCGCCATTCCGGAGTGGTTGCAGGAGGAGATAGTTGAGCCTTCCCTTATCCCGCAGCTCTCAGTGGAGGTACTTGGTCAGGCGATCCACTCTGCGGCTAGGGCGTCGGCACCAGGACCGTCGGGGTGGGTGACGGAGCACCTGTGCGACACTTTTCTCTCTGAGCCCGCATACCTGCCTCACCTGCTAGGAGTCATCACCCAGTGGACCAAGGGAGAGGTAGCGGAGCGCGTGCGACCCTGGCTCACTGCGTCCAACCTTGTGGGCCTGTCGAAGCCGAATGGTGACGTTCGCCCGGTGGCTATAGGCGAGGTGCTCCCCCGCATACTATCTCGGGCCCTATGCATCGTGCTTCGGCCGAAGATGATGTCGCACTTTGCGCCGTGTAACCAGCTAGGAGTCGGATCCTGGTCGGGAGTGGAAGTCCTCGCACATGCCTTTCGTTCTGCCATCTCTACTCACCCGTCATGGTGCGCGCTTCAAATTGATGTGGCGAATGCTTTCAACTCCTTCCATCGGCGGGAAATGTTTGAAGGACTTCGACAGTCGCCTTTTGCGGGTTTGATCCCATTCCTGCGTGTCTTCTACGGCACTCCTAGCGACCTCTACCTCCGTGCGGGCCCCTTCGTCGAAGCTTTGGCTTCAGAGCGAGGATCGAGGCAAGGGGACCCATTGGGGCCGTTTCTGTTCGCGTTCACACAGCAGCTGGTTATGGAGCCCACCAAACAAGAATTCGCCGACCTACTCTTTCTCAGCTACGCCGATGATACGTACATCTTGGGGCCTAGGGAGCGGGTGCTAGCAGCTTATGAGGTCTTGCGGGAACGACTGGGCGGGCTTGGTCTGGAGGTGCAGCCGCATAAGTGCAAGCTTTGGGAGCGAGGGGTGGACCAGGAGGGAGAGGAGAGGAACGAGACCGTCCCGCCCGGCATGCAGCAAACATGGACGGGGCTCACCGTAGTGGGGGTTCCTATTGGGGAGGAGGAGTGGGAGGTGGCCAGCTTGCGAGGCCGGCTGATGCAGCTGCATGCACCTGTCCCTTGGCTTCCTTTGCTCGACCACCCACAGATTGCGTCCCATCTGCTGGCGATCGCAGTGTCAGCGCGCCCGATTTACCTCACAAGGACGATGCCTCCACGGCCTGAGGTTGTGGAGGCTTTCCGCGACTGGGACACGAAGCTTGAGGATTGTTTTGAGCAGCTGTTTCCAGATAGCACCTGGGATCATGATTCGGCAAGGTCGCAGATGGCCCGTCTACAGCTGCACCTTCCAGCCAGACTTGGAGGGTTTGGCATTCGATCTGCAGCTGACCTTAGCCCTCTGTCGTACGCATGTGGTTGGTGCCAGGCAGTGAGCGATGTGGCTCGGATGGGGGTGGCAGGGGAGGAACGGATGTTTGAGGAGTTTTTCCGCACGCCCGAGGCTACGACCTTGCTGGATCCTTGGTTTGCGAGAGCAGTGGAGCTGCTGCCACAGTCGGTCAGGCAGGAGATGCCACCCCTAGCCTTATGCACCGCTGACCCCCCTGTGCTGCTTTTCCCCACACAACACCGTCGCCTAGCGGTTGAGAGTCTGCAGACTCTTCGGGGTATGGCCCACGACGACGCCACCATGGCCCGTTTGACATCCCTTCAGGGCCCGGGGGCAGGGGCGTGGGTCTCCGCCGTCCCTTCGCACGAAGAGGCTACCTTCACCGCAGCCGAGTGGAGCATCTGTGCGTCCATGCGCCTAGGCCTCCCCATACAGCAGCTGATAGTCGCCGGCAAGTGCGCGTGTGGGTTTGAGTTTGCTGATCCCTCTGACCCGCATCATGGCCTTCGCTGCAAGTACCAGTACGCACCTTCTCGTGTTCACGACGCGGTTAAGTTTGTGGTGGCGAAGATAGCTAAAGGGGCGGGTGGGGTCGTGACCATGGAAGACGACACGTTGCTGCCAGGGAAGAGGGTGGATGTGGCGGTGCGGAGACTGAGGGAGGGGGAGGAGCATGCGCTGGAGGTTAGTGTGGTGGACCCTATCTCGTTGTCCGCGCAGCACCATGGACAGATTGGTCGCAAGGTGGGTTTTGCCGCTAGAGAGAGGGAAAAGCGGAAGGCGGCGGACTACAAATTGCTTCTGCAGCGACATAGGGGAGTGCAGTTTACACCTCTCATTGCTGAGACATGGGGTTGCCTGGGGGGGAGTTTTGGGCGGTGGCTTAAGAAACAGGGCGACGCGCAGATTGAGGTAGCGAAGACGAAAGGGGCGGCGAGAGCTACGGGGAAAGGTTTCTCGGCTTACTTGCTTGGATCACTTAAAGCGGCCATAGGTGTGGCTTTGCAGCGGGCTCAGGCGCGTGTGATCTTGTTGCGCGCGGCGTCGATGATGAGAGGCCCAGAGGCTGTTTCGGTGGAGCGGGAGGATTTTGAGGAGGAGATGGGATGGGATGCTCCGTGGGCGGATGCGCCCTATTTGGTGGACATGCGGGTTTAGAGGGTGGGTTTAGGTGAGGGGGGTGGGGGGTTTGGTTAGATGGGGCGTATTGTTGGGGTGTCTCGTTGGGGTGTCTCGTTGGGGTGTCTCGTTGGGGGTATCTCGTTGGGGTGTCTTTTGGGGTTCCTTATGTGCTGTTCTACTGGGGTGTTCTTGAGGCTGCGTTTTCCGTTTTTCTTTCATTTAAAACTGAAAAAAAAAAAAAAAAAAAAAAAAAAAAAAAAAAAACCAATTACAGGGCTTGCTCGTGGCATAGGATTATCGATCCAAAATCCTGGTAGAAAGGCTGATTCAGCACATAGCAAATGCTGGAATTCCAGCCCACTTGCCGGTGTAATTTTGTGTACAGCATTTTGAGAATGGTGTACTGAAAACACTATCCCAAGACCCCACGACAAAGTACTGAAAACGCAATGAGTATACGGCGCACAGCATATACACCCAGATCCCCTCTTTTTTCTTGACCTGCTATGAGTAATGCATATGCTGGAAAGGATTCAGACATGATCAGACCTTGTTTTCCTAGCCGTTTTTTGGTGGATCAACTCCCTTGGTTAGGGTACCGTATTCTCCCGGATAAAACACCCCCGCGTAATTGTACACCCCCGGGTAGCTTATACGGGGTGGGTGTTATATCCGACCCCGTTAGTACTATACCCCCCCTTTTGGGGTGATTTTCTATAACACCCCCCTTTTCTTATAGATTCTGTCAAATGTAATTCTATGCTTGTAGGCTACAGTGAGTAGCACAATAGGGAGTACAGTTGTTAGGGTTGCATATTTGTACTTCCACACTTGCTAGTCTCATCATTCCGTTGCATCCTGATTCTAACATGGTATCATGAGTAGGTAGTTTCCTCGCCAAGCCTAGCCTCGATCGAGCCCTAGCGCCCTCCGCGCCCTAGCGCCCTCCGCGCCCTAGCGCCCTTCGTACCGTCCGTGCCCTCCGCGCCCTAAGCGCCTCCTCACCCTCCGCGCGTAACCCGCGCCCTCCCCTCGGCCAGCCCGTCGCGTGCCCCTAGGCCAGCCCGTCGCGCGCCCCAAGACCAGCCCGTCGCGCGCCCCTAGGCCAGCCCGTCGCGCGCCCCTAGGCCAGCCCGTCGCGCGCCCCTAGGCCAGCCCGTCGCGCGCCCCTAGGCCAGCCCGTCGCACGCGCCATAGGCCAGCCCGTCGCGCGCCCCAGGCCAGCCCGTCGCGCGCCCCTACGCCAGCCCGCCGCGCGCACCCTAGGCCAGCCCGTCGCACGCGACCTAGGCCAGCCCGTCGCGCGCCCCAGGCCAGCCAGTCGCGCGCGCTCTAGGCCAGCCCGCCACGCGACCCCTCCCTCCGTGCCTCCGCGCCCCCCCCTGCGCCATCCGCGCCCTCCGCGCCAGATCCGCCCATGCACGCGCCCTCCCCTTAGCCCGCGCCTTCTCCACGACCTCCTAGCCTCCACGCCACCGTTCCGTGCCCGCCCTAGCCCGCGCAACCCGCTCTAACCCTAATTCTAGCCCACGTTTTCCCGCGTGTCTTCTTCCCCACGCTACCCGAGTGTGCCCTTCTCTGCCCGACTGTTGGATTCCCCCCCCTAAACCTGTCCCCCGGTCCCGCACCATTCCTACTGCTCTTGGCTCCCGGCTCAGCGGCTGGCAGCCGCTCTTTCCTCCGGTAGCGCCACCTAGGATCGGTTAGAGCCCCGCCCCTAGCCTAGTTTCTCGCCACACGTCTCTCGTCGTTTTCCAGCTGGCGCATCTAGCCCTCAGTAGCCTCGCCCTCCGTAGTCTACCTCCTCGTTCTTAGCTCCGCCTCCGCCGTGCTCCAGCTGCCTCTAGCATTGCCTCCGTTATGGAGTCCCGTCGCCTTCGTTTCGATGCGGAGGGACGCCCGATAGGTTTCGGTACCTGGCAGCGCCAGACCACGCGCTTCCTCACCAGCCAGCGTCAGGACGGCGCCACTCTGTGGGCCCACGCGTCAGGTGCTCTCAAGGCCCCCCCGTCCCCCGCCGCCCTGCCGACCGCCTCGGAGCCGACTCCTACGGCCCAGGCGGAGTACGACCGTCGAGTCCTGGCCAGGGACGTGTGGCTCTCTCGTGACGCTGCCGCCGCTCTCACACTGACGGAGCTTCTCCCTCCGACTGAGGCCGCCCACTTTGACCAGGTGGAGACAGCACAGGGGGTTTGGGATGCTATTGTTGCTCGCTACTCCACCCCCTCCTCTGCCTCCCTCAGTCGCCTCCTCATGCCGTTCGTGTTTCCCGACCTAGGCTCGTTTGCGACTGTTTCCGACCTAGTGACTCACCTCCGCTCGCTTGACGCCGGTTTCCGCGCTGCCTGTACTGACGCACAGCTTCTAGTTGCTCCCCCCCCCATGTGGCTCTCACTGGTTAGTCACCCGCCTCCCTGAC